TCGGGTCGGGGCCGTGTGGCCACTTCTCGCGCTGGGATTGGCGGGCAGCTCAGCGCGGGAGGCAATAAAGGGCGAGGGGCGGAGCGAGGGAAGGCCCGAGCAGGCAATGGGCAGCCCGTGAGGGTGCAACACGTGGGCTTTTTAAGGGCTGGGGTGGGCGTGCCCTGGGAAGCCCGTGTGGGAGTCTGGGACGTACCTCTGAGACTGGGGGGTGTTGCCCCGTGTCCTGCTACACTGGTGGCTTGGCAGGGGGTGAAGTTTGGGGAATAGGCTGACATGCAAAGTAGGGGGCAGGCCAGCTGCTGTAGCATGGGGAGGTTTCTGGGGCCACATTGTTCAGCTGGCCAATGCTCCTGGCCTGGGATAAGGCATAAGCTCTCTTGTGCAAGAGCTCTCGCACAAGAGGGCGTATTCCTTGTGGGGAGAGGAATAATTCTTGCACAAGCCCTCTGTTCTGATGCTTTACTGTAAATTTACTTGTGCAAGAACATGTGTGCAGTGTAGATGCTCCGCAAGTTTTTGCACAAGAACAGCTGTTCTTGCACAAAAAGCCTGCAGCGTAGACCTAGCCCTATGAAAGATCTCACTATTGTATATGCCAAATAATTTTATTCCATGTTTAGTATTTTAGGAGTAAGGCTTTATTACAGTGGGATACAATTCCACAGTATAAATAAACTAATTATGAGATAGTGCAATCCTAAATATTTTTTTTGTTTTATACCCCTCAGATATTTATTAGCTAAATAAAAATTAACTTTCCATATTAATCAGTTCTTAAATCCTCCATTAACTTTTTTCTGTCTTCTCTGAATTCATTCAGCTTTGCCTATATCTTTCTGGAAAGGCGGTTCCCTTATTGAATATTATAGTATATTAGTATACTTATTGGTTCTCAGTAGAGGAGTTGGAATAGTGGCTCCTTGTCCCATTAAGTATGTTGCTAGCCCAAAATAGTATTTTATATTGATTACCATGCCAAATTGCAAACTTGTATCTATTTACTATCCACACATAAACCTTCAGTTTGTCCTCAATCAAATTGTTCAAAGCAGCAGCAGAGGAGACTGTGGCACACTTAGGCTGTGTCTACATTGGCATGATCTTGCACAAATACTTTTTAACGCAAGAGTTCTTGTGTTAAAGTAGTTGCACAAGAGAGCGTCTACACTGGCATGTGCCTTTGCGCAAGAGATGTGCTTTTGTGCAAGAGCATCTGTGCCAGTGTAGATGCTCTCTTGCGCAAGAAAGCTTGGATGGCCATTTTAACCATCGGGCTTTCTTGTGCAAGAAATTCATGTTTCCTGTCTACACTGGTCTCTTGCGCAAGAACAGTTGCACAAGAAGGCTTATTCCTGAGTGGGAGCATCATAGTCCTTGTGCAAGAAGCACTGATTTCATACATTAGAACATCAAGGCTGTGTCTACACTGGGCCACTTATTCCGGAAAATCAGCCGCTTTTCCGGAATAAGCTGCGAGCTGTCTACACTGGCCCTTGAATTTCCGGAAAAGCAACGATGCTCTACTGTACAAAATCAGCCGCTATTCCAGAAAAACTATTCTGCTCCC